TTTTTTTGCTTCTATGTCTGTTTGTCTTTGTACGGACTAATCTCCGAAACTGTTGGATCGATTTAAATGAAATTTTGCGTGGTGGTCCCTAATATCCCCCGTTCAACATTTTAGATACTTTTCATACCGGCAAATTAAAGAGTTCCCGAGTTAAAAAAAACTATAGTAACTTATACAGCTTAGTACACAACAACCGGTCAAACAACAGGTTACTTTTTATCCCGGAATAATGTTAGTAATGTTATCATATTAGAAATGACTCGCATATGAAATTTTTAGAGTTCGGGTTTGAAACCGGATCACTTGATTTTTAAAGTAAGCGCGTTACTAGTACTTAGCAGTCTACAATTGCTTAAAAATCGGCAAATACGAGCTATATTTAAAAAAAAGTGTTACATTAATGTCCCAAAAAAGAAAAAATCTGAAATATTTGGAGTTTATTTCGTAAATACATGACCGTAACCGGAACCATTGATCAAACGAAACAATATATAAGATCAACAATGTACCACAATAAAACAAACACGAGATTTCAATAACAATGACCATGCACTATACTTTCCAAGAACCTTAACATGGCCACAGATCATATAAATATATACATAGCTGATAAAATTAAGTACCAAGCTTTGAGGCATGAATAGAAAATGTGATATGGACTCTTATATTTTATTCTTATATGTAAGTGTTTTTTTTGTGAATAAATTGGTAGAAAATTATTTATAGACTAGCGACTCACCCTCGCTTCTCTCGTTTCCGTTCGTCGTTTTGACGGTTAGCATGGAATAGATAGTCAATCCTTTGCTCTGTGAAAAATAAAAATAAATTAATCCCACGGGAACTGTATATTTTTCCGGGATAAAAAGTTACCTATGTGCTATTCCAGACTATAATCTATCTCTGTGTTAAATATCATCCAGATCCGTTTAGCCGTTCTGTAGAGTTTTGTTGTGTTAAGTAGCAAACATCCATCCATCCAAGCTTTCGCATCTATACAGATAAATAAAATTGAAGTGTCTGTTTGTAATGTCAAAATAACAACCTACGTTTTCACGTAATAATCTATTTAAAATTTAAAATCTGTAAAACTGTATCTACTAATATTATAAACTAGCGACTCACCCTCGCTTCGCTCGGGTTCGTCCCTAGGGTATGTGCCTTTACAACTTCCCTATTTTTTTTTTAAGTAAAAGTAACTTAAGTTACTCCTTATTACATCAGCAATCTGCCAGTGAAAGTCCCGTAAAAATCGGTCCGGCCATTTCAGAGATTAGCCGGAACAAACTGACAGACAGACAAAAATTGTAAAAAATGTTGTTTTGGTATATGTACCGTGTATACATCCATATAAATTTAATAAAACGCTGTTATTTTGACATTACAAACAGACACTTCAATTTTATTTATCTGTATAGATGCGAAAGCTTGGATGGATGGATGTTTGCTACTTAACACAACAAAACTCTACAGAACGGCTAAACGGATCTGGATGATATTTAACACAGAGATAGATTATAGTCTGGAATAGCACATAGGTAACTTTTCATCCCGGAAAAATATACAGTTCCCGTGGGAGAAATTTGTTTTTATTTTTCATAGAGCAAAGGATCGACTATCTGTACCATACTAACCGTCAAAACGACGAACGGAAACGAGAGAAGCGAGGGTGAGTCGCTAGTCTATAAATAATTTTCTACCAATTTATTCACAAAAAAAAAACACTTACATATAAGAATAAAATATAAGAGTCCATATCACATTTTCTATTCATGCCTCAAAGCTTGGTACTTAATTTTATCAGCCGTGTATATATATATGATCTGTGGCCATGTTAAGGTTCTTGGAAAGTATAGTGCATGGTCATTGTTATTGAAATCTCGTGTTTGTTTTATTGTGGTACATTGTTGATCTTATATATTGTTTCGTTTGATCAATGGTTACGGTTACGGTCATGTATTTACGAAATAAACTCCAAATATTTCAGATTTTTTCTTTTTTAGGACATTATACTTTTTTTTAAATATAGCTCGCCGATTTTTAAGCAATTGTAGACTGCTAAGTACTAGTAACGCGCTTACTTTGAAAATCAAGTGATCCGGTTTCAAACCCGAACTCTAAAAATTTCATATGCGAGTCATTTCTAATATGATGATGTCAGTAACATTATTCCGGGATAAAAAGTAACCTGTTGTTTGACCGGTTGTTGTGTACTAAGCTGTATAAGTTACTATAGTTTTTTTTAACTCGGGAACTCTTTAATTTGCCGGTATGAAAAATATCTAAAATGTTGACCGGGGATATTAGGGACCACCACGCAAAATTTCATTTAAATCGGTACAACAGTTTCGGAGATTAGCCCGTACAAAGACAAACAGACATAGAAGCAAAAAAATTGAAAAAATCTGGATTTAGTCTATTTGTCTTCTTACATCCTTTTCCCCTGACTCAGTTTTAGCATTTTTTTTATGTACAGACATACGACCGGTACAGCTTTAATATACTTATCTATGTATAGATTGTCATTTTTTTTGAACAATTGCAAAAAATGAGTTTTTAATATTTAGAAAACTATAATTAAATAATATTTTTAACACTTATACTTGAATTAAGTACACAATACTTACTTAAAATCTTTAGATTGTTTCTAAATTGAGATTTGAGAGATACGAAAAATTGAGTTCCAGAGTAGTTTCCTCGTTGTAGAGACATTTAAGTACTTACCAGGCGACTAGAATCAAATATGTTTAGTGCCTATCTTTTTTATCTTTCGTCTTAAAATCTTATCTTACAAGCGAACACGTTGTATACCATCTTCCACCACCTTACCACCACCACCACCACCACCACCACGTACCACTCTTAAGCACCCTTGTCTTTAATGTCCACCTGGCGGCTTCTGAGCTTCGTGTCGTTACTAAGTATATTTAACAGCAAAACCCAATAATTGTACTAGGCCTGACCCGAGACTGGCATCTAGAACCTCTAAATCTGCAGCCGTACACACTAGCCTCTAGACCAGGCGCAGTTTAGTACACAGAGTTAACCTATTACATAAATATGATACAGATATATAGCTTCTAAGGAGCGTATAATGATTATAGCTATTTTAGTATGGCTACTCTTCTAATTTATAAAATTTCCATGTCACAATGTTAGTTACTGCACTCCTCCGAAACGGCTTTACCGATTTTTACCAAATTTTATATGAGTATTCAGTAGGTCTGAGAATCGGCTACTATCTATTTTCCATACCCCTAAGTGATAAGGATAATGGTGGTCCTCCGAGATACCATCCCAGGGACGAATCCGAGCGGAGCGAGGGTGAGTCGCTAGTTATAACATATTTTTAGGCTTTTCAAGTCCAGAGGTTGATGACATGTAGCAGGAAACTGCTTTTCCGTATTATGTCCGTTTATCTTGCATTGCTATTTGTTCATTTGTTACTTAATAATACTAGAAATCTATTCAGTGCAAATTGTACACGATACATGAATATATCTTACCGAAACACAAAGTAGATACTTAGGAAAGGTATATTTTTAAATAATTTTATAGTATAAAACTGTATAATTGTGTATTAAAGTTTTATTATAATTATATATTAATGTATATCATTAATATATAATTTATAAATAAAAACTATTTCTTTTTTATAAAATAGTAAGTATATTTTCAAATTTTCAAAGCGATCATTATTTTGTTTCTTTTGCATATAAGGTGACATTTCAGGCTTAATTTTTTTAAATTACAGAATTGAAATATATATTTATTAATAATTATAGCTTTTGTTTAGCCTTTTTTATCTATCACTACATAGTATAAAAAAAGTCGCTTCCCGCTGTCTGTCCCTATGTATGCTTAGATCTTTAAAACTACGCAACGGATTTTGATGCAGTTTTTTTAATAGATAGAGTGATTCAAGAGGAAGGTTTATATGTATAAAACATGCATATTATAGTATAGAAAAGCCGAGAAATTCAAAGATTTGTATTTCATACTAAGCTTTAAAACGTAGGTACCTAGGGACGAACCCAAGCAAAGCGAGGGCGAGTTGCTAGTATAATATAATGTAACTTTTTTATAGTGAAAGATTTGTTAAAATCGGTTCAATAATTTCAGAATTTTTGGATTATAAGCAAACAAACCTATGTTTTTATAATGTTAGCTGGGGGGATACGCCTGATATTATGGTAGAATGATTTATGTATACAACAGCCTATTCACTATTGGTATTGTAACAGAATATTGTTAAGTATTAATCACTTCGTCTATCTTATTCTTTGAGTCTTATTACGAGTAATAGACTGCATTATTTATCCCGGACATTAGATAACTTTTGCACGATTGAAATAATAATAAATCACCAAGATCAAAATTTTTGAATGGATTTTTCAATTTGTATAGCTTTTATATATATTTATTTATTTTAAAAAAATATATTAGAAAACCTTTATTTTAAGTAGATTGTCACGACTCGTACGATTACATGTATGTTTTTTTTTAAACATACATAATTTATGTATTTTATATACCTTTAAAATGTTAAAAGTATTACAATTTTAGTATTCGTATTGAAAGTATGTGTAAGTAAGTAACCCAACATTTTATATTAAAAGATAAAACAAAAGCTTACATTTCTGAACGATATTATTTATTTTAAAAGCATACATCGTCTGCGGTCTGTGCCGCCAACTGTCAGAATTCAATATATTTGTATTGTCAACAACGTTTTTCAATTCAATTCTTGTAAGTTTCAATAAATAAAAAGGTAATTACAAGAATTTCTTGTGAAATATAAATTTTAATAAAAAATAATATAATCATTCTTTCTAAAATGTTAAATGACTTAGTTGTATTCAAGATATCGAGAATATTTAAAAGCGAAAGTACCATGTTTAATAGGTGTGGCATCATTTCCCACCCATTATTTACTGGAATTTCTTGGCTTTTTCAGATTTGTAGAGTTTTCTTATTATTACTTTTACACAAAATATTTTAAAATGACGATATTGGAATCTTGCTGGTCACCATGTATTTGGTCATCAAATGTGAAGACAGGGAGCAAAGCAGTGGCAGCGTATACTGTGGCAATGAGTATAGTGCTAATTACATTTATTGCATATCAAATGAATGGTGGAGATTCTACCCAGTTATGGAACCCACTATTTGAAGCTGATGTGAGAGGATGTAAGTATATTAGCAATATTAACAAGAGCTGTGTTCAATATGAAGAATTCTAAAGATAATTATTATAATCTTTTTTCCAGCCCTTCAGGTATTTGGGATAATCTTCATTGTGATCTTGGGTACCTTCGTTATATCTTCAGTTTTAATGGTCAGCATTTCATTTTTTTATTAATATAAAATGTATATATGTGTACTTATATGATTCTTATTTTAAAGAATTGCAGTAAAATTAGTGGCAATATTTTTTTCTATTATATTATTTTTATCTTTTTAATGGTTATAATTATATTAGGTAGTACATTTTTTTATTCAGTTAATAAAAGTTGGTAAATATGTGCCTTTACACTAGTTGTTCACTCCCATGTTAGTTGCTTAGACAAATAGAAATCAGTGTTAATCTAAGATATTATCTCCATTCCAAACTTTATTTTGTCAACTTTGTCAACTTCTTCTAAGCCATTATTGTATGGATGTAATACAAACATACACCTATTCTCTAATATGATTAAAAACCTTTTTGTTATGTTTTCAGGTTATAGGAATTAATATATGGATGAGAGGATTGATGTTGCCATGGCTTATCACTATGGGAATAATAATTTTATTCCAGTTTATCTTTAGTTTATGGTTACTTGGAGGATATTATATTTATGTAAGTATAGAAAACATATTTGTATTTTTTTTTAAATATTGATTTTAAGGTCTTACAGATTTATTTAAAGATTTTTCAACAGCTGAATTGGTTTCTGTTAAGGCGAGCATTCATTACATTTTAATTAGTAAATTTTAATATTTTTCATACTTAAAATACATAAATAACATTATTACTTACAGCTTGATGCGACATTTGCTGCAATGTTGAATTTCCTATGGATGGGATATAATGTAAGTTTTAACATATAACTTATAATATAAAAAAACAGTTCCATTACCATTGACTTTGAGTCTCAGAATGTTGCTATGCCAATGCTTTTCCTTTGTCATGATCATTGTTCTGGGGCCCGAGACTCAAAACACGGGACTTCATGACTGACATCTGCATAAATTATTAGCTAAGCTTAAAGTTCAGAGTAATATTGTCTCAAAATGGTCAATGTGTAGATAATTATGTAAACTTATTTATATTTCTAAATATATTTGAAGATAAATAATTAAAAAAATGCAAATTAAACCTACTTTATATGTTTTTTCATTTTAAAATCATGGAGGCAAGCATATATTATATTGTTAATAAACCAAACACTAATTTTACCAATTATTTTATTCTATTATTCCTTTATGGAACTTAGGGCTGCAGCAGTAGTTTTCTATGCCCTCCTATCTTTCTCCTATCTTTAGCTAATGCTTGGACATGGTTGCACAAGATTCCCATCCTTCTAAGGTCCAGGTTTTAATTGGTCGACCAGGTCTTTTTTGACCAACAGGCTGCTATTGAAATACCATTTGTGCAGTATACCTTCCCTCTCTTCGCAAAATATGCCCCACCCAACGCAACCACCTTAGACCTATCTCCTTATATACTGGCAGTTGATGACATACCATTTTACTAGTACAATTTTTTTAATATAATGTGCAGTTATTATAATATATATATTTTTTTTTTATTTTTGACATTTCAGATCTACTGCTGGTTATGTGTTCTATCACAGTATATAATAATATTGGAAATGCAGTCACCAAATATTGAAATATTGATTGAATATTAAAATTAAGCTATGTATTAGATACTAAGTGATTTTGTACATCTATCAATATCATCAATATCTATACATAGTTTAAAGCAAAGTCGCTGTTTTCGTCTGTTTGATTCTCCCGGAACTTTTCCAGGCAACGGATTTAGTTACGGTTTTCACTAGTATGTACTTAGAGAATTTCGTCTGGAAGGTTTATTCATTTTTTATTCTATTAATTTTAACCTTAAACGTTGATAAAGGAAAATATCATTTTTAAAGACAGCTAAGAATTTTATTTAAAAAAATGATAAGGAATGATCTAAAATAAAATATTATATAAATAACAATATTATATGAATGCAAATAATTGGTATCAATTTATGAAATAATTCGATTAAAATATCGATTTTTATTCTATTGATGGACGTACAACACTATTGTAAGCTTAACGTTTTATAAGCCAAGCAATTTAATGTACAATTTTGTGTTCAACTTTAATTAGTATTGATATCAAATTACAACAAAATGTTCTCAATAATGAGAGCTAAACTGTAATTTGTGTAATATGACCCAACATATTATTTTATTCTTTATTCGTATTTAACGGACCAGTGTTCTAAAAAAGTCTGTAAAACATTGTATATATATAAAAAGACAAGCCATTTTGAATAAATTAAGTCTTGATATTAGTTTCCGGAGACAAAATATAAATAACAATATTGATAAATGATAGGTATATCACTATTAAAGTTTCCGTTAAATTAACCTTTATCCAAAGGAGATATTTTATATGTACGACGGAAATGAAAAAAAATAGCTTTTTTTATAAAGTATTTTCAATTAAAATTTTAACATAATACAATAATTTTAAACACAAATATTTATGAATAGGTACATCACACATATAGTCTATGATTTTAATTGCTCGTTATAACTCTTATTCTCTTCTCTGAGTAAAGTTAATTTAAATGACAGCACAATATATGATACGCTATAACAAAGTGCAATAAAATTTTCATACAGATATATAAATACTAATATATTCATTAGTTTTGAAGTCCTTATAACATTGTTTTTGTTATTTGAATTCAAAAAATTATTCGAATTTGATATAAAAAAAGCTATTAATTAATATAAAAATGAAATAATACATTTATGATGTATTTAAGTTATATACATCTATAATTTTTATTTGTAAGTACTTATAGTATTATTGCACTTTGATATATTATTGTTGTATATAATATAGCAGTAATATTTAGCCCTTTTCAATGTCCCGCTGTTGGGTATGGGCCTCCCTTCTATACGGGGACCAGGCCATAGTCCATCAAGCTGGCCAAGTGTGCGGCTTTAACATATCTTTGGAAAACTTGCTGGGTTCTCGTATACATATATAGATTATAATTAAATAGAATAAGCATCAAGTGCCTGATAGCAATGTAGACATAGCTGTTTTTATATTGAGGACTTTAAGGACACTATTGTCTGAGACTGGTATAATCATATATCACAGTTTATTAACATATACAGTAGTCTTAACGAAAGCATCTAAATATGGCTATAGTGCAAGAGGAGATGCGGGTAGTTGCACCCGACTTTTGTAGATAGATACTATTTATTGTACACCATATTAGAACAAAACAAACACAACAAAATTAAAATAGGCAGTCATGGGAACTGCAGACAGAAGTGAAAACTTATAACTTTGGAATTTTTGTTTTTGTTATTTTTAAATTAATAAATAATTAAAATTTCGTAATTTGTAAATTGAAATTATTATTAGTTTGGTTTTCGCATCTATTGGCACTCCAAGAAATAATTATTTAGATTTGGATATAGTTTATTTATTAATCAAAACATATGACGCAGCGCGTCGCCAGTCTGTGCCAGCGGTAAAATTTATACTGTACTTTAATATATAACTTTTTAAATGTTCGCGTTTCATAATTTATTACTAGGATATAATATATTTTACATTAAGGGACTTAAACGTATGAATGAATTTTTGTGTCGGGAATAAGGTATATGGCCACTAACAAAGTCACGCGTTTAATCCCGTAGTGTAATTATTATGCAGTAAAATGTCTTGTGAACCCAGTCTTAGTGTTCATATGTTCTATTATTAAGTGTTTGACCATTGTAACAGGTAGCGGGTTCAAATCCCATTGAATAAATATTTACATTGGCCGTGTAAATGTTTATCCCCGTTTAAAAAGCACAGTTATCTTATACACTTGCTATAATTCACTTAAATGTATTAAAAAATAGTTTTGTATTTACGTAATTATTTTTTTTAAATACGATTGTATTGTAATATATCTGAAAAATCCGTCCAATATTTAATATTGAATCTCACAATTTTAAATAAACTTATACTATTTTTAGCATTTTTTATATTATTGTAGGTACTTTGTTTATTATTTTATACATATTATGTAGTTGCAGGTACGGATCTTGAGCTTCTGGCAATAAAATGAGAACCAATTTGTAAGTCTATATTCTATTATACATTTTAAATTTTAAATAAAACTATATTTTTGGATTTTTTCGCGGTTTTATTTTGATTTTTGGTTCCCGACGTTTCGAATGTGTAAAATGTCTCAAAGGCATTATATAGGTTTATAAAAACTTTTAATTTTAATTATTAGTACATATTATGTACTTATATAAATAATAATTTATATAGTATGAGATTCAACTAAAGTGCGTGAACTCTGTAAAACATAATGACGACTATTATACCCTTTACAATTTTAATAAAGAACTATTTTGAACTGTAAACGTTATTAAAGTGTGTATTTATGAAAACAGCCCGAGTTAAATCTTCCTTCAATTTTTAATTAGACTATTTGACATTTTGGTAACAGAAAATGTTAATTTCATTTATTTTTTGTTTTTCTATACGGTCTGTGCTAGTGGCGCCACGCGGCGGAAAATTATAGTCGTAATGCTTTGGCTTAAGAAAATGTTGAAATTTTTAAATAAATACTTTTTAATATGTAAGTATAATTATTAAAGAGCTCAAGGTCTGTACTGCTTGCCAAATATGTAATTTGTCAGAATATTTACAATTTAATTTTTGATTTCAGTGTTTTTATCGAAATATAAATGTTTTATTTGTATATTGATGTTTTATTTATTTAGGAGCTCTAAAATTTTACACCGTTTGTGTTTTTCTAAACTTAGTTTGCATTTTCTTTCAAGAGTTGCTACTTTAGTTGACAAATTTAATAAAAGCTATATCAAAAGGTTCAAATGAAAAAGCTTGTTGAAAATTCTTAATATTTTATTGGAGATTTCTGTTAAGTTATTGTTAAAATAAAAAAATCAAAAAGTTCAGTTCGAGAAAGAATTTAAACATAACAAATAATTTCGATACAAGCCTATACCCAATTATTTTAATTACAACTTTAATACAATTTTAATGATTACCTTAAATTACGTTATAATAACGAAGCCTAAAATCAAAATGAACAACTTTTCCATCCATATTGCACAATAAAATAGCATAAATATCAATTTAATTATTATGAAATAACATCTAATTTTATAATTATAAAAATGCATACAAAAACAATTCACTGGAATGGATATGAGTATTTCAATTGTCATGCATTTGTCTCTAAAAATAAAAAAAATAATACTTTATGGAATGTCTACATTGCAATGGAATATCGATTTTTCAATCGTTTTTAAGTATAATCGATATCTAATTTTGTGATTAGTCTGTCAGTTATAAAATCAGAGAGGCTTCGATATAAGTTTTACAAATTTTATAATATTCGAATTCTGGAAAAAAAAAATTCCAGCACTGATTATAATTAAAAAGTCTACTTAATCTAAATGTAAAATATTTAACAGAAGTCTTTGAGCGTTGTCAAGAAAACAAAAACTGTCATAGATAATAAACGACGTATTTACAATGAAATCTTATTTCGAATAATAAAATAATATACAATACTTAATCTATAATTTACAAGATAATATTGCCTAAATACGAACTCTAACTATTGTACAATAATTTACAAAAAAGCTTACTTAAAAACATTAAGTGATATGCAATAAGCTATACATATAGCTTAGCGGGTGAAATCAATCCCCTATTAAAACACTAAGAACAAAATACTGTTTTGGCTCATTTTATCCGACCTTCGCCATTACAATATGTAAATATATTTATAATGAATACGTAAAATTTAAAAAATATAAATAAACATTTTCAATTTGAAAATAGAAAATTAATTTAGAATTACTACTTTGTTAATGCCACCGTCGATACCGTCTTAAAATTTGGCACATTATGTCATGATGAGCAACTAATTTCCAAAAAAATCTACTTTACCGCCATTACTTTGAGTATTTCAATACTTAATTTGTATTTAACCGAATCATTTACATCCAGTATCAAAAGTTAATCTGCCGTTTTAAATTATAAAATGACATCGATATTTTAACAACAGGACAATTGATTTGTCGATTCATCGTTATAAGGAAAACTCCTTCGAATATTTCCAAAATTTCGTCACTACCGCAAACATGGCTATGAGCTCGTTGAATACCAATTAGTATTTGGTGGAGCTGACTTATCTACTGGTTGGTGCGAGTGAGAGGCATGAGCGGAGTGCGCTTGTGGGTGATAGAGATGAAAAGATGATGGTGGGTGGAAGAATTGTGTTTGATCTAACGACGAGGCGTAATCTAAAGCTCCGGGTACAGCTGAATATGCCTGAGGCTTCAATGGCAGAGGAGCCTCCCCTAAATATGAATGTCGTAAAGCCTCAGAATAAGCGCTATTATCATAGGACAAAGCATATTGCTGTTTGTCTCTAGGAGATACTGAGCCAGGTGGAGTCATAGCAGAATGATAGTCGGCGTATCCTCCATATGCTATCGAACCTATATCTGTACCTTTGTGGCCCAATTGTTCTCCATAACCAGAACCTTCACTGCCAGGTGGAGTTGGTAATGGCCCTGATTGTCCGTCACTAGAATAATAACCTCCTGTTCGTCCGTCGCCTAAGAAATTACTCCGAATAACACTTTCCCGATTTGCATAAAGCTGCCTTAGTAGAGCCGAAGCAGGGGTTGGAGTGTGGTTACCAGGAATTTGACGATTCAAATGATTCAAGTGATGGTTTTGTGTTCCGATCCATTGTATAGTAGATTTCTGCTGTTGTTGCTTTAGGAGAGCGTCAGTGGAGAAGTCAGTTGGTCGGTGAGCAATTTCTTTACCGTCTAACGCTACAGCCGGTAAATGTTTCGACATAGCGTTTTCCAAGTCCCTAACGGATGTAGCATCAGAAGTTTCTGGGATAGCTATTGCTTTGGTCATGTCTCGTTCCGGTGTGATTGCTGCACCAGGATTCGAAGCGCTCTTTCGTCTTTCTTCCTCTCTTTCTGCTTCATCCTCACAATCAGTGGTATGTTTTCGTTTCTTCAGTCTTCTGGCTGGCATTGGCGAAGTTCTCTCTTGTGTTGTATGGAGTGGTAAAGGCTGGTCATTTAATCTGGTTAGATGAGTCACGTCAGAAGTAGGCGGTGCATTTGAGGCCGACTCGGTATTTGTTGGGGCTTCGCTTCTCTCTGTGTGTCGAGTTGGAGGGGGAGGTGCACCAGGAGTGTCAGCGTCGGGAGGGCCGTTTTCTGGGTCTCCTGTTGTTTCCTCTCGTTTCACACCTTGTACACTTTCTTCCAGTTGACAGCAATCCATCACTGTATTAGGATATTCACGGCCACTGTAAAAACACAAAGTTTTACAAATTATTTAATGGCTTTATCACAATATAGTAATTTATAGAAAATGAATATATTAAAGGAAAGCTTACCTAATAACATAATTAACACATATTATATTCTGTTCTTCCGCGTTTTTGGAGGAGCAGACGACGGTGGCACACGTTTGCATCCAGGTGTACCCGCCGAGCTTGTTCATTATTCTGTAGTAATGTGTCAGCACTTGACCTTTATTCATCACTGTAACAAGGTAAAAAGTTTAATCAAAATACTCTAAAAATTTCAAAAGAACCTGTAAAAAATAGTATTCGCTATAATAGTGTTATTTTTTTATGTACACGACATGGCCTAGACTTTACTTTTAAACCTTTTGAACTTAATGTGACTTATTGTGGCACTGTGAGAATGATATTCGCGATTGAAACCAACTGTTCTAAAAATATTATTAAAATTATTTTAGGCAAACCTACTTCTATTTGTAATCTAAACTGCTACCTTGTCCTTAATCCTTATTCGTTAGTTTTCTTCCAGTAGACCGATAAAACCGTGACATATCCAACACAATCATGGTGTACACACACCATATAATAATTACAAAGAAATAATAGAGATTAATCATATAATTCAACCATAATAATATTCATAATAACTAAAGCAGGACAGATATTCATAATCGCGACCTTGAATTAGCGACATAAAGCGTATGATGACGGTAATATAGTATATTGTGTGGTTAATGATTTTGTTAAAACACAAACCTTAAGACTTTTTTGTCGACAACCAAATTGCGAATGCTTCATTTTGTCGATTAACTTATTATAAAATCGGTATGCAACGTGATCAAAATTGATTTAGCATATCATTAGCTGTGAACTAGTTAGCGACATAACAGTATAATAAAATTACCTTTATTTATAATAGAAGTACTTGGTATAGTATTTATAATTGATTCAATATATTAAAATTATATCACTTTTCCTTTAGTCTTGCGCGTGCGCAGCTCTGACCGATGCATTATATTCCATACGTACAAAGCACAAAGTGTTCGACATGTGTATTGTGTACGTGAATCATTAAGACGAAGCAGCTTTTTGGTTTTGTTGTTTTATTGTTTATTGTTGTAATTTACAATGAGGCTGGCCGCAAGCCAAAAGTTAGGCGTCATTTGTGAATAGTAAACTTATTGTTGTGGTAGAATCGTATTGATTAAATATTTAAGGTATTTCTAATTTAAAAGTTACTTATGCAAATCTATGTAATATAATTTAAGTAGGTATGGATATATCTATAATCTGCATACATATATCTATATATAAAGAGGCATAAATAAAACAGTTCATATAAATAAAACGTTTTCTACTCTGTTTGTTAACCGATTTTCTTTTTTTTTTATTAATTAGCTTAATGAGCTTTTGTGTTATCAATGTAAAAAATAGTTAGCTTTTTTATAAAGATAGCTAGCTGTACATTGATGTATGTTTCCCTCAAATTTTCAATGAAGATTTTGATCGAATTTCGGCCACTAGGCCTACACTAGTAATAATTGCCTTACTACATACGTATCTTAGTATGTCATATTATTGGAGTTCCTCCTACACTGTAGGTAAAGTTTGTAAGTTTGGATGTAGGAGAAAATCTCTAAAACTACTGCTCTGATACTTTCACAACTAGGTAGGTACATCATCGTCGAGTCCTATGATATTTTTTATTCCGATCTGGAGTAATACCTAGGACTCAGGAACGCAACAGAGCGAAGAGAGTGATATTTGGACTAAATGACTGATTCATCAAAGCTCAGGCTCAACAACTAGATAAGTCCAGTGGTTCATCCAGCTAAAAGCATATGGCTAAAATCGTGTGTATTTACGGACGGTACGGACTTGGATAACCGATATAAAATTATGCTTTTGAAATTCGTCCCTAAAGACTACAGTTTTCCGAGTATACTACACTAATATTTCAAATATAAAATTAGTGAGTGAGGAAGTAACGTAAGTGAATGAGTAAGTGATACGCTTATAGGTCATAGACAAAACCTACTGTTTTGCGGCCGACAAAATGGTTAAACAATATTTTTAAAAATTTTCCACTATTTATTATTGCTTTTCGAAGCTATTAATTAACAACTATTTAAGTGTTTAGGTACCTACAGTTAAAAATTTCAAAGCCATAACAATGGGTCTGATTAACGTATAGGTAGTTGTTAGTGAAGCAATGATAAGTAGGGCAAAGTAGCAATCATAAGTAATTTTCCTGCTTATTTCATAGAAATCGATTATCCTTATCGATTGACACAAACGATTGTTTTCGATTATTCGTCCACCCATGACCCAATAAGAGTGAAATCAGCCAGCAATAATGGCGTAACGACACTTTGTATGCAGTGTATGCGAATAGAAATTCATGTCAAGAAGACATCAAGGCAGCAGGTAAATTTACAGCTGATCTCATTTAAGACGTCTGTAAATATTTTTTAACTTTCTATTATTTATGTTTAAATTATAATTACATTTAACAATACTTCAAATGCTCTTAATATGTAGGGAAATATTATTGCTACATTTTTTTTCTTTAAAATTTACATGGTTTGATTAAATATGATTCATTCATTAAAAATGGTTAGCAATTGACGAAGGTCGCGTAACACATACATAAAAATCATAATTGAACACTCTTGAAGTTTTTAGTTTGTCACTATAACAAGCCTCTCATACTAAAAAAAATGTTATAATTTATATATTATCAGCATTTTTTTCATACAGATATTTTCTAACTTATGCTACTTATAATATTAATTAGCCTTTTACAAAAACTTACTTATGTAGTAACAAACAATATAAACAAAAAGAAGTCACATTTAACAATAAAAAGCTATATAAAATACAAACTGTCATTTTAAGCTCGCCGTTTAAAAGCTTAAAAACTGAAGATTTAAATCAATAAAATATTTGTCTGATTGCAAAAGCTTTAATTTAATCAGTAGATACGTTAAACACACATTCGAATGGTATAAAAATAGTTATAAAACTGTCTGTTATCATTAATACATGATTCAAATAGCGTAGGTGGCATACGAAAGCTGCAAATTTCATTACGTAGACATATATACTACATATATATATATATATATATATATATATATATATATATATATAATAAAAGTAGAAAAATATATATCACCAAATAATGTCATTTATGTGTGTGATATCATTATTTTTCCACGTATCCGTCAGAATACAATTTAGGCCTAGCGCCGTACCGTTTGTGATTTGAATAATAATATCGTAGCATCATTTCCTTTCTGCTTTGAAACGTGGGAAATGTCGGTTTTAATGCTCTATACCTATTCTTTTTCTTTATATAAAATCAAATATGTATGTTACTTGATTTTCAGTGAGTCATCTATACATACATATAATAAAATTCTAACTGATTCGAATTTGTAGATTAAATATTTTTTAGAAAACTTTATTGAAGTAGTATTATGGATACAGATGCCGAATCTATAGATTTTAGATTTTTTGTCTGTTTGTCTAGAAACGCCTCACGAGTAAACCACTGGACAGACTGATGAAATTTAGCCAGGTCAACATATAGGATACTTTTTACTGCGGGAAAATAATATCTCAGCTCTGAGAAATATAAAGTTAAAAAGTAAGGTAAGGTAGGCAACGGTGAGTCACTGGTTTGTCATAAGTTTAGGTATATCATAGAACTAGCAGAACCCGCGGCTTCGCTCGCGCAAAAACTACAAAATTTTTAAAAAGGTAATTTCATACAATCTTTTATCCTCTATTTTATATAGGATGAATATCGAAAATGCTAAAATACGTATTCATTTAATTGTATTGAAGAGCATTAATACCAAGTTTCAAGTAATTCTGATCATAAATATATTTTTTGGATTGTATTATAACGTGTTTTCTCGTGGAAATGAGATAATATCCCGCGGTAAAAAGTAGCCTATGTCACTCTCCAGCCAAACTCCATACAAAAAATTACGCCAATCAATCACTTCGTTTTGACGTGAAAAAAGAACAAACAAACAAACAAACAAACAAACAAACAAACAAAGATCATCCTACAACTTAATACGTCCTCAATAAAATATTATGATTTTGGACAAAAACTATGTACCCACGCCATATCTACATACAAATTTCCACATCGACAAACCAAACAAATAGTACTACACTTATGTAACAAGATGGCCGCCGATTAACTCGAATCACGAAGTCTCGACGTCATTTAGTAACTTTTTCACCACATTGATAGCTTTATGAGACCATTAATTTGAATTTAAAATGCACAATATATAGATGCCGGTCAAATGTGGACATTTCTGGCATAGAATAACAATGTATGAATTAACATAAAACACCCGGTGTTTACTAGAAAGCGGGTAATTTGGTTACAAACGTACACGCGAATGAGAATCCTTATTTTAATATTGTATATAAAGTATGTATATAATAAAATTAGAAGATTACGGCTAAAACTTCCGTCAAGGCACGATGGCGGAATTTTAATAAGGTTAGTATAAACTTTGAATAGCCTATAAAAGTTGCTCCGAAAATATCGACGAATATTTTTGCGTTATTTTTAAAATAATTTTTTTTTCTTAATTTATAGAAAAATAAGTGACAGAAGAGACATTATTCTGTCGAAATTTAAATATTTTGTATATGGTGTTTGTATTTATACAGCAATGATATACATAGAAAAAAAAAAACGCTTATAATATATATTTTTTTAATTTTCCGAACAACTTTTCCATAACAGACCCTAAAAAATTTTATACAGCCTAGTTATGTACATTACAAAAAAACTTTTGCCAAATCTGTCCACCCGTTCTTAAGTCATGCTCTAACAAACGCACAGTGTTTCACATTTATATTATAAACATCTTAAAAAAATACTAAAAATAATATAATAATCAAAATATTTATAATAATCAAAATATTTATAATATACTTACAATCAACGTGACACTTTCTAAGTTTATTCGCGTCTTCGCCGTGGCATAGAGCGTAAAGGTTTTTTCCTGTTAACTCCTCAGCAGTGTACCCGAGTAACTCCGACACCCTGCTGGTAAATACAAAATAATCCATTAAATCGTTTGATAATGCAGAAAATTAATTTCTTTCAAAGATAGACCTTCTAGTTTTAGGCTATCGATATTATTATTAGTATTTTGAAAAGATAACTTAGTAGCAATCTAGTTTTAATTGCATTAAGTAAAAAATATAGGAAGTTAGGATACGATTTCGTTAAAATTTCGTTAATATTTACCGTAATAATAAAAAAAAAAACAATAAACTAATAGATTAATTGTTCAACAAGTATGTTTGAATAAAAATTACATTACCAATTTTTTTAGATCGTGGTGAAATAGCAAACATGTTACTTAAAAAAAGTTTTATTGTAATAAATTTAATAAACTTTACGACATAGTCTATAGCTTCTCAATGTAGACGGCTCTCAAGGGGTCAATTTTTTATAGAGTTTATGTCCGCTTAGCTTATGTCTTATATGTAAGTTTAGTCGGTTGCTAGCATTTTATGTATGGTCATTTTATGATGTGCATACATACATATTTATCCGATACACTAAAAAATATATTTTAGAAATCATGTCATTGTAATACCTGGGCTCGCAATGCGCTATTCTGAAGTCGAAGTTGATCCTCGTTACGAACATATCAGATTCCAATCTTATTTCATGTACAGATGGCGGCGGCAAGGCTATGGCGAGAGCGACCATGCCTAGTAACGATGGTGGGGTCTTACGGCTATGGGAGAAGGTGTACTGTGGTCGAAGACGGCATAGCATTAGTACCACCTGAAAAGAAAAGAGATGATTTTGAAGAAAACACGTTACTAATATAATGCAAAAGTTTGTATGCGTGCCTATTTATTACTTCTTCACGTTTGTACGGCTGGACGAATTATAAAATAAATTATTTAATAAATTGGATGAAATTTAGTACATAGATTAGACTATAACATAGAATAATACATAAGCTACTGGTGGTAATAAAGTTTGCTGAAAGATGGCGCTGCCGGTATATAATGTTATACAAAAGGAACCTAGACACGCCAGTGAAGTAACTGTAAATCACCAGTAGAGCATAATATATATAAATAATATATAATTGTATATATAATATATAAATAATTTTTTTTTTTACTTTTTTCTTAAAAGTTGAAATGAAATGAAATAAACTTTATTTAATTAGACTTATTACAAGTACTTTTGAATCGTCAATTTAATGAAAGCGTCAGCGTAGTCAGTCCGTGAGGAAGCTACCACCAGCTCGGAAAGCAGTTCTGCTGAGAAGAACCAGCGAGAAACTCAACAGTTGCTCTTTTAAATATACAGGTTATATTTATTTTATTAACATAAAATTATAGATAGCCTACATATTAATCAATATCATCTAATTCCACACATTTTCATCAACGAGAAACTCTTGCTCAATAAAATATTTTTAATTTTATCTTTAATTTTTTGAAAAGGTAAATCTAGGTATATAGGTAGGTAGATTTGATTTCATGTAATATATATACATATATGAAAAAATCATATATGCAAGTATAAAAGTAGGAATTAACAAAATACTCGTTAGTTAAAAAAAAGTTTAAACGAGTACTTATTTAGGATATTTAATTTTATTCTGACGAAATCCTAAACGGTTTGACTGAGTTATCATAATAATATGAGATGCCATTAGATTCGTCTTAATTGTGGGAATAGATAAAGATATAGGGTTTGTACAGATAATTCTTTTCAGTTTAAACATTTAAAGCTGGCAGTTTTTTTTATTTTGTTTTTTTTTTTATTTTATTATAATTCGTTTGGATTCATAAAGAAATATAGGTATGTGATGAAAATTATTAAACAAATAATTTAATACAAAATCTAAATTACATTTCAAAACCTAACTCAGAACTTTTTCTTCTTATTATACATACTTTGAAACTTTTCAAATTATACTTGAATATACAAGATTATAGAGGCAGAGGTGACAAACTTTCTAAGAACACGTACACAGGTAGCTCAAGTCAAAAAGGATTAATGCAAAATTTTCGCAATAAAATGTACGCCCGTGGCGCAAGACCCATATAAAGGGTTACAAACGATTTTCTCTAATTGTTCTGTCGATATTTGCGAATTGTATGAGCAATTTAGATGAAGATAAACACGAATTATGGGTTCAACTCTCAAACTGCTAATCTCGAGATTTGTAATATATTTTACGTGCTTATACCATTTTGTTCTAAGAAATATTTGCTTTTAGTACTATTTACTATATTTTTTATATGACGTGGGTATATGATAATATTGTGTATATACCTAATTTTATTGTTTTTGATATATAAGAAGGTCAAAAGATCAATTTTGCAACTTTGAAATAATTCGTAGCACTATTACCACAAACAATTTTCTTAAAAAAAAACTATTTTAAAGCGAATAAAGTATATCTCAGAAAATTTTCTATTACGCTTAGCTCTACCCACCTAGTACGTTATTCGCAGGTCGCTACAGATATAATCGCATTTTATGTTCTAACACCGAGTTAAGGCAAAAATTATGGGCCACAATTCGCCCTGCGGCACCCCACGCTCGCTATAACTCTAACAATAACATTTGTGATCCAAGGCCGGATAAAGCTATGAAATAATTTAGGAGTAATAAAATCATAATTCGTGTATTTATGACACCAGTATAGTATAATAATCATATTTTGTTGTGTAAGAACAAAAATTGATTTTAAGTTCAAATCATTGAAATAAAACTCGCAAAAGTTGAATTCCATAAACTTAGTTATTAAATAATTGAAACTTCATAAAGGTATATTAATATACATAAAAGTATGTATATAATCTATACATATAATAAAATTGTAACTAAGCTGAATCTGTACATTAAATATTTTTTGGAAAATCTTATCGAAATAGACATTATTATCAATACAGAGGCCGAATCTATAGTTTTTAGAATTTTTGTCTGTCTGTCTGTCTGTTACCGCATCACAGAAAAACCACTAGAGGGATTTTGATGAAATTTGGTATGGTTATAGCTGGTTATCCGGGTCAACATATAGGATACTTTTTACCGCGGGAAAATATCTCATTTTTGAGAAAAAATACAAAACTGCAATGTAAGAGTAGATTAACATGTAAAACCTAATAATTTGGTTTTTGATCATCTGAATGCGGGCGGAGCCGCGGGCAACGCTAGTATATATATATATATATATGTTCTTATTTTTCTCACTGTAGTCACAAAAAAGTATAAAACTTAAGTCATTAACAAATATAACTGTTATTATAAAAGTAATAACAGCCATGTTAAATATAACATAAATGTAAACAATGGCCTGAAATAACGACACAAAACCTAATGAGACACGCACGTCGGCTATCCAGATACCCACCCGCCAGTTACCACTCTCGGTTCTCGAACCATTCCATTCGCCATCCTTGTTTCTTCCCACCTAGATTGAAAATTAAACTTAGCTTCCATTTATTTTTCAATCTAAATATCATTAGGAAAATGTACAAACCGAAAATATTCATTGTTAAAACTCGTTTGAGAGTAATATAGCAATGTAACATCAATTTATGGTATATTTTTGTAAAATAAAAAAATATATGTAGAATTTTAAGAAATATTAATTACAACGATGGACTTTTTAGTACACCGGCATTCTACTGTCTGAGCTTGAAGATATGACTTTCATACAAATATAATATTATTGTTTAGAACTCCTTAAAACTCTACCAAAGCTTACATTTCTTTTATTAATCCTTACCCGGTATCCAGATGATTTGAAGTGGCAGCCTCTCTTCGTTAAAGTACTCTTCATCCTAACACAGAAGGCTCGATCCATGCCTTTGTACAACGCCCCGCTAGCTGCTAGGCTCATTTGTGATGATACTGTAGAAGAAAAAACAATTATTAATATTAGATCGATTGCATTGGTTACACTAAAACAAGTATTAATAGTATTCAGCCCTTTTTAACGTCCCACTGCTGGGCACCGGCCTCCCTTCAATACGAGGGGGATCAGACCATAGTCCACCACGCTGGCCAAGTGTGGGTTGGCGGACATAATGAAACAAAGCAAACGATATTTAAGTAATGTCGTGTAAAAAAATCCTGTTCATCATATTTTTTAAAAGTTCATTAGCTAAAAGATTTTCAAATAAGTTTTACGTCAAATACAATTTTCCAAGCATCATATAAAGAAGCGTAAATGCTTGAAATTCAACTGATGGTTTGATTGGTTACAAATTTGTAGTTAGAGGTGATCGATGGGAGCCAAGAAGCGTCTAGTAATTGATTTCACTGATTATATAGGCTTAAAAATACACAGTGTCTCTCAAACTGTAATAGCATTCCTTCTCACAGATAATGCAAAGAACGACGAAAAAGAACCTTTAAAAAAAGATATTTAGTTTTATACTTAATTCCTATAATATCGTTTTTAGTTGTGTTATATGAACACATAATTAATAATTATTTAAAATATCACACTTTTAGTTAATAAAGTTTAGAAATCGCTGGTACAGTTTCATCGTCAGCTATCATGGGTATCAGATGACAATATGGCTTTATCCACGGGTTTCACCTGTCCATCACGTTCTTTCACCATGCCATCCCAACAATTAGCTACTGTCACATCTGATCCTGATTGATTTTTTCCAAAACGTTTTTTACACAGTAATAGATTCCTTTGCATCACGTGAAGTTAAAAAAACTAGGTTAATTGAGTGCCTTCTACTAACGCTTAAGTTTTTGTTAAGTTCGAAATTAATTAAAGTCTCAATGAGGGTATATTTCTTGGTAGTTTAAGCTTAAACATGTTACAGACCATTTTAAATGAAGGTATAGTTGTTACAGACAGCCTACCCACAAATAACAAAATGTCAAAATGGAACCAAAAATCAAAATAAACCCGCGAAATAATCCGAAAAGATAGTTTTATTTAAAATGTCAAATATTCGCGTAAATCTAAGAAAGTATTATTACAGACTACATATTTTACTTCCTCTTACTAAAAATAAAAAGAAATATTTCATCAAACGATTAACATCTATAATCATGGACTAAAAATACTTTTTTTAGTTCATTAGATGACGTACAATAAATATTTACGTATATCATAAGCACTTGTTTTCACTACCGGCAATCAAACTGAAGTTTTTGTCAAACAGAAGTGTCAAATACGCAAAATCACGAATCGTTTTAACTTTAGCAAACAAAACAAATAATTTATTTGGAAAAATATAAAATGACGAAACACGTTAAATGCAGATCAAACTTTTTACGACGAAATGTCTTTAGCGTTTCCAGATGCAGTGGAGCGAGTAACAGCCGACGTTAGAGAAATTATATGCCAGATATTTTTTGCCTGTCTTCACCTTAATTACTTAGCCTATATTTAGGAAAAAAAAATGTGTACGAGTACTATCATTTCGAAAGCGGAACTATCATATTCAATAAGACTATTTCTTTCCCATAACGTTTAAATATAATATTAATCAACAAGATAAAGGTGTGCCCTGACGCCCCATCGACCGTTTCATAAGGTGCCAACACGCCGTGAAGATTCCATAATCTAATTTCAATTTGGTGCACAATTTATTACATTACCACTGGGCGTTTGAATGAAATTTTTGGAACAGTACAGTCACAAGTCGAAATGGTGCGTTAGCCTCCGAAATGAAGGAACTTTAATTGAATTTCGTATAGTTTTTTTCTCGTCTTGACAGAGAGGTCGCTCTTTTTTGTATTGAAACAGTTTTAGCTGGAAAATGCAGCTAAGTAGATTGGCTAACGGTGTCATCGCTTCGTTTTAGAAATGAGTGCATTTTGTTTTTTATATTCTAATTTCAAAGATAACTTGCATGTAATGTATCGATTGTTATTTAAATAGTATTTACTTTTCCTATACTTTCAGGATTCGTGTTTATTCGATAAAAAATCATATTTACTAATTTTATGAGACTAAGCAATGAGCATGTCTTCTGTATAATTTATAAAGACATGCCTAAAGCCACGTTCGCAGTCTCATTTGCTCAATATAAAAATAAAACTACAAGTTCTATTCAATTTTTTGTTGTCTTTTTCTTCTTTGTCTATTTATCCTGTTACAAATTGAAATGACGGAAGTAATTTCTGATTGACAACTTTATCACGAGTGATAATTATTTGAATAAAATGATGATGACGAATCATTTAACTAGCTTTTAGTTTATCTATAGATAGGAGTAGCTCCTTCTACGTTGGTTACAGGTTTTGGGCAGAACAATTATTTTCATCGATCATACAAACTATTAGTACCAAGTAAATATTATTTATTTCTCATATTCTACGAGCGCTTAGCTGATACTAACATAAAGCATCAGATATAAACGGTGGTTGAAATTTAGCATATAATAGTAGTTTAGATGTCATGATAGTCATCCGATAACGTTTGCACTTAGTCAGATCAATGAAACCGCTAATTTTAACATCTATCTGTATCTATAATAGACGAATTTGCTGAAATTTGCATCATGCACGCCCAACGTTTACTACAGGTCACCACAAATTTTAGCATTTGAATGTATTCGTTCCGATGAAAATGTCTTATGAAATAACGAAAAATAAAAAACACGTGGTTCGCAAAATTACTCCACTTGTTTATAAATTGACTGTCTCTGATGAGTTTAAATAAAAATAGAGATTTATTTTGATAATAAGTCATAAAATTCATGATAATAGCCATATAAGGATTCACCTAATCAAAGTTGTACGCTCAAAACTTAATTTAATAACCAAAAACTTTGTTAGATGGATTTTTACATCTTTATACTGTATGATTCCCATATTAAATAGGCAATGTAAGATTATCATTTCTTTTAAATAGGGATTAATTGCGACATTGCATATATGTACTTACCATCTGGGTTATTAGTTCCGTGTTGGCTGCCTTCCTCACTGCCGGACGCAGGGCTGTTCAACCCTGCACCACCTCGGCCAGCTAAGGAAAGACCGAGCTGTTCCGCAATCTCTGCGTGATCAGCTTGATGCACGTAGTCAAATATGCTACTGCCCGTCATTTCTACCTATGAAGGGAGTTAAATTAATAAAATATGGAAAATGTTAGGAAGTCATTAAAAATTCAAAAAGTACATTCTAGCATTTTCATAAAACTTTATTTCTAGTACTAGTATAAGTCTTTTAGTAGAAGTTTTGTTTTGAAAATGTTTACTATGAAATGTATTTCCTTGTAATAATTTTATTTTGTAAATGAATTTTATTACAAACAAATATATAATAATATTGTGGACGTATACAAAAATAAGAAGCTGATAAATCCTTGGTCGTATCGATTTTTCCTTACGTTAGAAGGTTCCGAGTTAATATTGTCAGAACGTGATCCATAATGCTTGAATAATAAAGTTTATAATTGAAATTTATGGTAGCCAAATGAAGAGTCACGTACAGCATCGTTATGAATGAACTAACAGTTATCATACATCGCATGGCAGGTGGCTTTGAAAACAACAATAAAACATACAAACTGGAAGCCGTGAAGACAACCTCGAAGGCATAGCAGACGTTTATAAACAACGTAATTTGTCTACTATACATGATAAAGCCGTAGATAAACTTAATTGTAGCTAAATTTTTAATAACAAAACAAAATTTTAAAAACATTTTCAGTAATCAAGGTAAATAAAGTTGTAGAACAATTTTGATGATGTAATATTAACATAAAGCGGCATAAACGCAAGTCATTATCATGAATTAGGCAGCTTTTTATTTGGCAGAGGAAACAATTATTCATAAAAAATTCCATAAAAGATATGATTTTTTTCATGATCACTATTGGAATACTGGTTGCTATCTAACTTTCTTATAGATCCTTCCACGGTGTATGCAAATGTAACTTTAAATAAATTTATCAAATATAATTGTGAGATCCTATTAGGCATTCAAGTGTCGTGTATCCGCAGTGGTGCCGCGCATGTGAATACCACAAACAATGGTGACGTTACGGTGGTCGGTTCTGGGAAAGATCCTTAGGATTTTATGGCATTTACCGATTCAACGATTGACGGCCTACAAATTTGAAGTGGTGACAGGTGATATGAAGCTGAATAAATTAGCTGAGTTCGCAGTATCGTCATTGCTGCTATGACACTCATGATGGGTGAAGCTGGACTTGAATATGAAAGTTGTGTGCGAAAATATATTGCTTTAAGTATTGTATAGTATTGCTTCTTGAAATTTCAAGACGTAACATCAGAATCTATGAAAATGATAAATATAAATCTATAAACCCAAAAGAAAATATCGGAAGAATATAAAAGTTCTATCGTCCAAATAGATTTCCAAATAATAATGAACAAGAACCATCACGTAAATAATTTTCAAGAAAGGGTCCGAACATGTCAAAACAAAAAGTAAAATATCCATTTTCGGATTTATCTTTAGAAATATGATTTCCTATTGTCGACGTTATCAGTCTTTAAGGGCTCCGAAAAAATGGCGGCAGAATTTAATATAACAGGAGCGTCAGAACGTTGCTCATAAGAAAGTTGTATCTGCTTATTTACCAGGAAGTTTATGTATTTTATAACGCACACTACATTACATAGTGTCCATATGTTAGGTGTTTGGATGTTGTTTGTGTCGGTGTGCGTGTACGGGGGTGTGTGAGTGCTTCACATTAGGATGAGAGGCACGCGCGCGCCTTGCCCGCGACGTGACTGGCATCTCTCATCGTCCTTTTCCCCCCATTCGCTGTCTCACACCACCCTCCAGCCATTTTGGATCAACTGTTTCTCAGTTTTCAGATCTTTTCCTTTTCCCTTTAATTTCGTAATGTTTAATTTCATCTGGATGTAAATTTCCCGTCTTTAGTGGGTAATTTTTTTGCGTTTTAAATACATTTTTATCTTTTTATATTTATCGACACTTTCTTAGTGTAAATAATTGCAGCCATATTAGGACAGGTTTAAAATTTTGGAAATTATACCAGAAAAACATCATTTTTCGTTTATTATATACAACAACTAAATAAAGTGACATTAAGAAAGTTAATGTTAACAAATATTCTTTCACGTCGTATAAAAATAACACAAAAACTAAAATAAAAACATATTCATTCATAGTTCACATGAGACGCGATGTAATCGTCGTTTCGGCGTTAAGGCATCCGACAGATCGTGGATAAGGCTCGTGTACGTGGGCGGATAGATTTTTTTTCTTAAATTACAATTGCACCGACGTTGTTAAAACAAAAGCGTTATGAAGAATTGTTATAAAATTTAGTTACAATTTTTTACAGTAACTCTAACTTATTACAGCTATCTATACATCCTTTTTTGTAAATACTACACAAATGAATTAGTAAATAAATAATTGTTATATTAATTCAATTTCTTAAATTTAAAAACCTTTCTATCTCTATATTATGCCTTATTTAAACCTTTGCTTGGGTTCATACCTAGGTACGTTTTAACGAATAGTATGAATATCCAACGGAAACCGTACACCTTTCCGGGATAAAAAGTAACCTGTTTGTTATTTCAGACTATAATCTCTATGCCAAACTTTCGCATTTATAATATTTATTGGATATGTGTATACCTATACATATATAGGATGTGGACGATGTTGTATCAGACGGTTTCAAATTATTTAAATAATCATCCACCTTTCTACTTATCATCCTCATTAATTTGCCAAATGTCACTAATACTTCTATTCTAGTAAGTGATTATCCACACTCTGTACGTCTCGCATTTTAATGTGCATTACTAGTTACTACTATCGTAGAATTAATTTACTACTTTCACTATCGCGATAGTTCGAATAGTTTGAAACGAGACAGAAGAGTATAGATGAGAGATACTTTTACACATCTGTCTACAAGTTTGTTCGCTAGCGACTATCGAGTTTATGGTCGGAGTAAAGGCAACATAAATATGCATACTGCGACTATATATTTTAATTACAATGTATTTATTTATAAGGGACTTAATTTATTATACATAAAAATAAAATAAATATATTTGCAGCACGTGGTAGTGCATTACTTTTATCGCCTTACTTCATTATGATTAGTACCTACTCGAAAAAATTAGCGGATTGTCTCGTAGCATAAAATTTTCTTGGACAAATATTACAGTTGTAATATCAAAATAAAAATATAAACCTAAGTATGATCAAATGTTGAGAGATTCTTTATTAAAAAAATGTATTACAGGTTCCAGACTCGTAATAGATCATCTCAACTCAATCATAAATTCTTAAAAACCAGATGAATTATCACTTAACTATTACTAAATTCGACTTTCATAATAATATCTCGAGTACCTAGGTATGTTATTATTATATCTTCGAGGTTTTACGAGTACCATCGCAGTTTGGCCGAATAAAATATATGTATGTATGTGTAGGCATAATTTTCGGCCCAGATTTTTTACTTTTGAATAACTTAATCATATAAATTGTTTAATAATATAATAAAAAGGTTAAATACTTACTTGTGATAGTCCTAAATATATTGAAACAGTTTCAGATATGTACAGAAATCTTCCATCGGCTGCTACTGACAGCGCGAACCCGTCGAGAGACTGTGAACAAAAAATATTAATATAAATATTATATTATACTAAATCAAACTGCTGTTATAAATACGAAAGTTTGTAGGTATATGTGTGAATGTTTGTTACCCCTTTACGTTGAAATGGCTGAGCTTATTTGTATGAAATTTAATATGGAAATAGAGTATGACCTAGAGTAACACACGTGCATTTGTTAAGCACCTAGAGACGCACGCGGGCGAAGTAAGGGTGAGTCGCTAGTAATTAATATGATTTCAAAACATCACCTGATCATGATCTTTTGTACTTTGATTTCTTATATCTATATTCTAATCTAATATTTCTGTAATACAGAGTTAAATGACTTAGTAGGTATTTCATAAAATATTTGTAATTTGTAATTTGTAATATAAATTTGAAATATGTTGCTTTATAAGAATATAGGTACTTCTAATAACAACAAAACTAATAATTTAACAATAATTTTATGCACATTGAGCAAGCGCCGCACAATCAAGTTCAATATTACAGAATACAGAGCTAGACAAAGTACCGTTGACAAAATAAAATATTAAACAATAAACATATTATAACATGAAAAAAATAATAATGTATATATTGCAAGTGCAACGATAAACGTAATTTAAAAAGCGTAATGATCGATAAAGCGATAATTTTTGTTATACACCAGAAGCCTAAATAAGCATTTAGTTTCAAGGAGTATTGCAACTTACTCAAAACTTGACTTTGTCTCACTATATTTAACCAATAAATACTAAGTTAAGTACAAGTTGGTTCGTCAATAAAAAAAATCTGTAACTTAAAAAGAACTTTATTACTCAATAATAGGTAAATATCTACAAATGTACACATATAAATAGGCAAAAACAATACACTTCAGTACCTTTTTTGCCTTTGTTTCTTATTTTTTTTTAATCAATAGCTATTGACCAGCTTTAGTTTATCAATAAACAAACTGTAAGTTAGTTTTTTTATATATTGATTATTATGGTCAAATTTCGACCACTGGAAGAACATTAATTTATTAAAACCACCAAAAATTTATTTTGCAAGCTGTACTCATTCTTAGAAAAAAATAATAGTTTCATATCCATCAATTCGGTATTGGTGACAAAAAAGCTAAACAAATAGTAAACGGTGAAAAAGTGTTATGACGCGGACAGTACTCAACAATAGTCTATTTACTAGATGAGACCGTTTTATATGTATGTCGATTTTTATTGATTTTTATTCTTATATTGTGTTGCAAAGATGATAAAAACGGCGTTTTTCAACATGTATGAAATAACAAATTTGATTCCCTCTTAATACTATGGCAGAAAGTGAGAAAAACTACTGAGTTTTGAGAGTTTAGTTAGTTAGTTTTCATTGGTTTAATTGTTAAAATATTTTGCAGAACTGTTTATTATATTACATGGACATGGAAATAAGAATAAATAAATAATATGAATAAAGGGAAACTAAAGAGACACAATATCTTAATAATATAGCATTAGTAATAAAATTGTAGTCATATCCAGTAATTTATTTCAACGACACTTATAATGATAGACAGTTGACAAAATAGTTGTAGAGATGAATCTTTTTTATCGGAACTTCAATTAATCGGTTGTTGTGAATCGAAAAAAAAAAAGAATGGAAAGCGGTACTAATGTTTTACCACCATTTCTCCAGACGTGAGTCTAGTTCAAAATTGTACAATTTGTACATGTCATTAGAGCAATAAAAATAAATTTGGTTTTTCATTCATTTTAAACTAACTGTAAAATTGAGACGTAGTAAATAAAGTAGTCGACTTAGTAATTTAGGTTCTAATTAGGTGTATCGAGATCGATGAGCGTGCGAGGCGAATATTTGTATCTGCCTTATAAATATTTTCATCGATGTATAGATGTATCTAGAATAGTGCTCCCTAGTGCATATTTCTAAAATCAACGAGATGTATGGAAGAAAAAAAATAATTTTTATGTTTTTATATTTCTATCACAATGTATTTATATGGAAGGCTACGTACCTAAACCTATATTAAACCATCTAATCTATAATATAAAATTGAATCGCTGATTGTGTTGGTAAATGCAAATCTCGAGAGCAGCTGAACCGATTTCGCTAATTCTTTTTTTAGAATATTCCTTGAAGTACGAGGATGGTTCTTACGGAGAGAAAAAATTAAAAAATTGCCTGAAAAAGTCTAAAAACAACACTTTTCTATACTCCCATACAAAAGATTCGTAATAATACTTAAAAGTCAATTTGAACTTTAATACTATAGGTACCATAAAGTTTAAGTGTTAGTGGAGAGGTTCCGGAAGGCAAGACATTTCAGTGACGTTAGTATCGTATAAATATTAATGTCAATATTATAAACAAAAAAAAAATATATGGGTAACGCTGGCTAATAACTATTTATATCTATTTAAAACGTACCTAGCGACGAACCCGAGCGAAGCGAGGGTGAGCCGCTAGTTCTATATATAAATAAGCAAAGACAAAACAGCTCACTAGGTACCATTTTCTCGTCTGAGTGTAATCAGATTTTTTTAAAACAAACTATAAAAACTTTTATTTATAAACAGATAGATTGAACATTGACATTTTAACATAATAGGTTTTTTTCACTTAGGATTTTCTTCCTTGTTTGTTTATTAGCTATTGACAAGCTTTGGTGTTATAATTTTTTTTTTGGAAATGTTAGTTTTTAATGCAGATATGAACGAATTTCGATCACAGAGCGAACACTAAAAAATCACGCAGCAAATAAACATTCTAGTTTGACTGATTTATTCAGGTGAAACGATCAAAACCAACTATTGTTAACGAAAATATTAATATCGATTGTGTTACGTAACAATGTGGAGTGACCTTACTGGAGCATGTACGTCCTTATTTTTTTACTTAAAACGTACAAGAACTCGACCAAAGCAAGGAATCACGTACTAGCTGTTCTCGACAGAAACCGCAACACCCACAGTGTTATAATACAAGGCGATTGCATAAAATTATAATTTACGTGATCGAGTGACAGGTAAATCGATTTTTTTAGCATTCCGCATTCATAACGGTGAAACGCGATAATAGGTTGTGCAAACATCTATATTTAGGTGAATTAAATGCTTTAGTAAATATGTACTACAAAAACTATAGATCGTATAATATTAAATTATATGTAACTAGCATTGCCCGCGGCTCCGCCCACGTTCAGATGACCAAAAACCAAATTCTTAGGTTTGACATATAAGTATAATCTTACATTGCAGTTTTTGCATTTTTTCTCAGAAGTCAGATATTTTCCCGCGGTAAAAAGTATCCTATATGTTGACCCGGATAACCAGCTATCACCATACCAAATTTCATCAAAATCCCTCCAGTGGTTTTTCTGTGATGCGGTAACAGACAGACAGACAGACAAAAATTCTAAAAACTATAGTTTCGGCTTCTGTATCGATAATAATGTATATTTCAATAAGATTTTCCAAAAAATATTTAATGAACAGATTCGGCTTAGTTACAATTTTATTATATGTATAGATATCCAATTTCAGCTGTCATTGATTAAGTTGTTTCTTATGTAGGTTGGTGTATAGAAATAATATAATTTACTATACTTAATCTCTATCGTCTCGTAATCTCTTCTCTGTTTACAAGACATTGGCGAAGTAAGCTATGCCCAAAATCAAATGGCACACCTTATAAGTCTCAGAACAAATAATTGAATTGAAATAATATAATTTAGACGTTTTAGGTTGTCATTTAGTATTACTTTTATATTATGCTTTTCTAATTTCATGGAAAAGACATAAAATTGGAAATTGGCGTTTTAAAATAAATACCTAAACATATTATCTTGCAAGACTGTTACAACAATTTAACCCTATAGTGTCATTTTTATATAAGAAAATCATTTATTATTTATTGTAATATATAATTTTGTTATATAATTTGAAAATTTATACTATCAACTAAAACCTAGACTAAGAATTTGAAATTGAGATTGAATTTGATTGATTGCTTCATAATGACACTAAAAAGTATCATGGATATTTATATATTTATTCTGCATTTCAAATTTGATTGTTGTTCTCTTATAAACAGAATCCATACTCTATAATTTTATGACATATATATGAAATTATTATAAAAGCTTTTTCATTTTTCAACTATTAGAAAAGAATACATAGATAAAAACAAAAACCACAAATTGCTCAAACTCGAGCACAATATGAAATCTTTCCTATGATCATATTATAGTATCTATAAGTCACTAATCTAAGCCAAAAAAAAAAAGAAAAGAAAAACAAACTAAAATGAACTGTCTAAGCGAATAATCAAATTCGGCTGCAGCACTATTATTTTTTTATATATGAAATAGTTTTACTTATAAAAAAGTAAGCGTGATGAATTTTCACTAAGTGGATATTCAGTGTCAATCATTCACAATGCGTCGTTTATGCCAGTCTCATAACAATGGATAATCGATTAAAAACGTAATACCATAACAATGATAATAAATCGATAATTCCTTAATACTTTCTTAGATTTACGCGAATGTTTGACATTATTAAATAAAACTATCTTTTCGGATTATTTCGCGGATTTTGATTGTGTTTTTGATTGTGTAGTTGATTTTGTTAATTGTGGGTAGGCTGTCTGTAACAACTATATCTTTAAGACATGTAACACCTCAGTCTCTCCCGTGACCATGGATGCTGTAAAGCATTCGAAACGTCGGGAAACAAAAATACAAATAAATCCGCGAAATAATCCGAAAAGATAGTTTTATTTAATAATGTCGATAATTCCTTTTAAGAACTTGAATACAGAACCTAAATCACGACGCGATTCGCACTTGACCGAGTTTTTTTAACCAATCCTGTACCACAAAGTATATATTCAATTAATTCTGTTATGAAATTTAGGTGAAACCGTCGAAATATTAAATTGAAGTGTTGAAAGTATTGTATGTTCGGACAATATACGCCGACCTATTGTATAGAAGTTAATTGTAGATATAAAAAGCATGAAGTGGGCAATTGGGAAAGTAAGTCAAGTTCGATTGATTCTTGAGAGTTTTCGGAGGTGACGTAAATGAGCAAACTTTGAAGAACAGGTATTGTAAAGATTGCTAATGTTGACTTGGCTCTGCAACATCCGAAAATGGACTGGGATAAAGAAGGTTGAAAATCTGATCAGGCTAGCCCTGAACATCTAGCTAGCTAGCCTAGCTAGAAGGATGACTGCCGACCTTCAGTAAATGAGAGGCACTTGAAGAAGAAGTAGTTAAAATTTTATTAGACAAACATTTTCTTTTAAATTCCCAGTTATATATAGAAATTTTATTCATACAAGAATTTACAATAGTAAAATTATTCTAATCAATAAAAAAATTAATAGACATTGCCGTTAGAGTAGCTCAAAAGCTAAAAGTATATAAGATAATTTTTGTATTACGATAAAAATTGCTTTCAGATATTTTTTGCTTTAGATATTTTTGCTCGATTTTCGAAGTACCTAATACATTTATTCCTATACTAGCATTGCCCGCGGCTCCGCCCGTGTTCTGATGACCAAAAACCAAATTCTTATGTTTTACATATTAGTATAGTCTTACATTGCAGATTTTGTATTTTTGTAAAAAGTATACTATATGTTGACCTGGATAACCAGTAATCACCATACCAAATTTTATCAAAATCCCTCCAGTGATTTTTCTGTGATGCGGTAACAGACAGACAGACAGACAGACAAAAATTCTAAATACTATAGTTTCGGCCTCTGACATTATGAGCGAAATTATGTCTATTTCAATAAGATTTTCCAAAAAATATTTAATGTACAGATTCAGCTTAGTTACAATATTATTATATGTATAGTTCTATATATATAGAAGAGGTTATATTTATGATTTTTACTTCTTTCCTTAAATTACACAAGCGGAGTCACGAGCAAAAACTAAAAATAAATAGAAGTGCGAAACTTTCAGTAACTCTTACCTGAAGAATGTGTGTGCCTTGATGCTGCTCGAACAGTTCCATCGCAAGACCGATAGCTGTCCGCCTGCTTTGAGCACCTATAAAAAAGAATATAATTTTAATTATCCATATCAACTACGTAGTTATACGTGAGAAACTTTTGTCTTTCGAAATAATAATTCATCAATAACTATAACAAAAAGCTACTAAGCTTATAATCTTAATCTAACTTATATAATACATATCTTTTACTTTTTAAACTCCTAAACTGGATATTATCTCCTTTACTTGATTTGCTCTCGTTACTACTTTTTAAATACTCTTATAGGCAGTGGTAGCCCAGTGGTAACGCACTTGCTTGAGAAACCGAGTGAAGCGGGTTCAAATCGCGAATCATTTCCACCATGATTACCACTTGTCTTACGGTGAAGAAAAACATCGTGAGGAAACCTGTATGTCTGACAGAACCTAGCAAGTTTTCGAAAGACATAATATGTCAACCCGCAATTGGCCAACGTGGTCCCTTCCTGATGTCCCTCGTATTAAAGGGAGGCCCGTGCCCGGCAACGTATTAGTACTTTAAAAAGTATATACTACTAATTTGTAGGCACTTTAAAAGTAGGATTTTAAAAAGGGCTTAATACTAAGTATTGTTTACTGTTCAGTAACATTTGCAACATACATTAAGCATATGTATCTGCATTGATCTTGATATGCCATTTACTTAAAGATAATTTATCTCGAATTAGTCTAAGACCTTTTAGAATCAATTTCAAAAAATTAACTTAAACTCATAAGTCATGACTTCTTTTAACCTCTTTAGAATAAAAAATGTATTTATAGAAAAATCTATATATTTTACTTTGCTACATACAATTAATTCTATTATTAAATTTAGTTACTTGCTAAAAAGAACATTAATCGTTGACATTTTGCTAGCAGAAGCTTCTTCATTCCATCATAAAGTTAACACTGAATCAAAATTAAACACATATATAAAAATATAATAAAAATATATGTGTCATCAAGAAGCAAGGGAGTCGTAAAGTTTGTAACCTGACACTGTGATGGTATCGCGGTCGGCGGTAGCGGCTCGACGGGTACCATCCCTCAACTTCTAGGTACGAGGTACCTGGTTAAAACTTAAAGCTCAAGATCTATGAAGACAGCTCTATTTTTAGACTTATTTAATTAAGACTTAAAAATCTGCTTGAAATTATAGAATTTCGATTCGATTTTTTAATGATTCATCTACCTAGTACTGTAATTGTGAAAGTTTATATGTATGTATGTTTGTTAGTCCTTTGCGCTGAAATCGCAGAAACATTTTGGATGAAAATTTGTATAATGTATAAAATATAACATGTCAGGTACAGACTAGCACTATAAGTATACTGTTAGACTTTAATTATATAACGAATGAATCAGAAAAAAATAAAATAAAGTTTTTCTATAAAACTTTAATCGCTTTCTTTATTTCAAGTAAGAATAGATTTATTCTAACCAATAAATATTAAGCAGTTAAAAAAATTAATTTAATTAGCATAATATTATGGATAATTTTATGAAAAAAATATTAATAATTGGTTCTACTATATGTCCATACTGTTTCATATAGATTGCTGTTGTAGTTAAACCTAACAATAAACTAATAGATATAACTAAAGTTAAATAAGTTAAATAGGTCAGGACATTAACACACAACACCATCTAGTCTCATGGTAAGCTACGAGGCTTGTGTTATGGATACCAGATATATAGTTGATACACTACACATATATAACTATAAATACATACATATTATAAATTTAAACACCCAAAGTTTTCCCTAACATTTATTTAAAAAATAGACGAAACGTCCACAGTCAAACAGCAAGTACTAGATGGTTATTGAAAGTGACACCCACAAGGACACAGATCGTCGTGACTCTACATCGTGAGCGGCAACAGACAGACATACGCACGACCCGCGCAATATTACGATATTAGTGCAAGCCATCACGAGTTTACATAATGTTGTACGTACAGTACGTCACGTGTGATTTGTTAATTTATTGAGGATGAATGAGCATATAGAAGGCTAAAATCTACTACATACGAGTATTTACCCAAGACTCGAATTTTTCGAAAGTTTCGAACCCCTTCTTTAGGGGTTGAATTTCCAAATATACTACTACAATTCGTAGATACTACTTAGTGGAAACACACTAAATAAGGAATATATATACCTCTCAAATTACAAGTTTTTAGCATTCATACTTTCTGAGATTTCGTGATAAATCATAAGGTTGTATTGCGTTTTTATGTATTATAGATACTGAGGCTAAAGATATTGTTTGTTTTACGTTTAGTCCCTCCACGACCGCGGACACGCCGGCGTGTCAATTAACAATAGATTTCTTAGAATTTTAATTAATTTCTTAGAAATTTACCTGGAGGTGTCAAACACGCTTATATATTTAGTTAGCCTATGTTCACATTTCGCTATTTTAAAGGTTTTATTTGAACTCATCAATATTATTTTTATCTATCGTACAACAAATATCCCTTATATTATAAAGATGACTGAAAACTACTAATTTCTACTTCTAAGCTCTACATTGGTAGCAGTCTCAGACCAGTGGTACTGTAGTGGTAACGCGTTTGCTTGGGAAAACCGAGTGAAAAGGGTTCAAATCCCGGCTTGCGCACCTCTGATATTTTCATAGTGGGAATCATTTCCAACATGATTACCACTTGTCTTACGGATGAGAAAACTTATAGTTTCAGAGAATCTAGCAAGTTTTCGAAAGACGTGTGAAGTCTGCCTACCTGCACTTGACCAACATGGTGGACTATTGGCTTATATGGCCCTTGTAGTAAAGGGAGGCCGTTCACAGCAGTGAGACGTTAAAAAAAATGGCTGAGTACAAGCTCTACATATTTTATGAAACAATATTTTTTAGATAATTTATCTCTGATATTAGACTATGTTTTAAGAGAATAAAAAAAAATCTAAACATATACGATAAATCCAGTATTAAATATAATATTGAGTATAGGAATGGACGAAAAAGCGAGTTTCACATCATGTGAAGATATCAAACCATGCCTTTATGCTTTAAAAAATATCCACTATGGTAGAAAATAGTATTCTCATATTTATATGGTATAGAATAAGTTACATGAATTTTTTTCGTACCAATTTTAATATTAGCTTTATTTACATACTAATTTAACTTGTTCAATTTTGTCAAGATTATATCTCGAAGTCATTTCATTTAATTTCAAACCTTATTAAACAAATATTTAAAATTTAAATCTATACACCTATACATATAATAAAATTGTAACTTAGTCGAATCTGTACATTAAATATTTTTTGGAAAATCTAATTGAAATAGACATTATTATCGATACAAAGTCCGAATCTATAGTTTTTAGAATTTTTGTCTGTCTGTCTCTCTGTTACCGCATCACAGAAAAACCACTGGAGGGATTTTGATTAAATTTGGTATGGTGATAGCTGGTTATTAGGGTCATCATATAGGATATTTTTTACCGCGGGAAAATATCTCATTTCTGAAAAAAAAATACTAAAAGTGCAATGTAAGAGTATACTAATATGTAAAACCTAAGAATTTGGTCTTTGATCATTTAAACGCGGGCGGAGCCGCGGGCAATGCTAGTGTAATGATAAGAATGATAGGTAAGATGTTTATTATTTAAGCGACATTGTCATAAGAAGTCAACCGTAACTTGTAACAAAACAAAGCAAAACTGTTTATGCTACGACTTTATCCACTGACAGTGACCACAAATTTTGTCATATCAGATATAGTAAAAAATAGTTATATTTTACATCTTTATCAAACTACTAATATAAATGTGAAAGGTTGTATGACTGTGCATACGTTTTTACCCCTTCCGCTTCGGTTAGATTACGTATCTAAGACCTGACAAACGGTACTGTTAGATATCTAGAAAAGACCAAGCGTCCTAAAAGAAGCGAGGGAAAACCATAGAGCAGAATTTTACAATAAAAACAGTTATTTTAGAACACAATTCAATTCAAATTCTGTGAAGTATTTATATCAATATTTTTATATATTTATTACTAAAGACTCACCCTCGCTTCGCTCGGGTTCGTCCCTACTTTGCTTCCCCATACAGACTTTCATCCCCATTTTCATCCCCTTAAGGGATGACTTCCGGAATAAAAACTATCGTATGTCCTTCTCAGAATCTCAAACTATTTTCTTTCCAAATTTTATCTAAATCGGTTCAGCATTTTTGGAGTCTATTCGGTACAAGCAAACAAACAAAAAAATCTTTTCTCTTTATAATATTAGTATAGATGGATTCTTTTAAATATTTTCCAGCATAATTTATTATTATAAATGTACGTGAACAATAAAATATATCCACGTATAGATCACACGGTGGATACTCTAGTAAACGGCAAGGCGGCGATATCAAAGTGCGGTCGTCTCAGCTTTGTTGAATTAAATCGTAATAAAGCACACGCCGGGGCTATCGCGACGTTTAAATATATACCCAAATGTGGCATGTGAACTTTTTTTATCAGTGTAAAATTTCAGGGCAGATCGGTCTTGCGATTGTTTTACTTGCCTTAGACGTTTTGTTACGTTTGAACGATTTCAGCGATAATGTAACCTTCGAGCGATTTTATATCTTCTATGTTTGCAATGTACATTGTACATGCTCGCTGTGGTAGTGAGAAATTTTATTTTTTTAAGAGTCCTTGATACATTTGTTGTGAACCACAGATTATAAATACACTCAGACTCAGAGTAAAGAATTATATAGACGAAGCCCGCCAAAAAATATGTCAAAGTCAAAAATAGTAGCGTGATTTTTATGGTTATGCCACTCTGTACTTTACCACAAAGATCGTTTAATTTCTTTAAAAAATAAGAGATATTATGTTTTATAGATATTAGTCGTTAAATTACGGTTTTTGTGAAGAATGAATAAAAAAATAATACTATATGCTTTTGAATCTTTTAAGCATTAGTTTCTTTCTCCCTTGAAAGAGAAATAACATATTATTAGTTTTTTCTTATTATAATAAAATCCGTTAGACATTTTTATTTAT